AAAAACTCTAAAATTGCAACAGCACAACAACAGAGAGGAAACAGGCAGGGACATCTAATTACCTCTCAACAAGAGTTTGGTCCAGGCACAGTCAGCCCATTGTATGCTAATCAAGGTGGTCAGTTGAAACATTCACACCTAGCTCCAGCAGACAAAAGTCCTTTGTCCCACCCTAGTCATTCCACAGATATATAAACCCTTTTTACTAGTTCCAACAGACGTTAGTACTAGGGCTGGGCGGTTTCGTTTCGTTAATTCATAATTAGTTAAAAATTCGTTATTTTTTTGTTAACGAAGCGATAACGAACCATTCTGGAGCAACTTAAAAACGAAACAAATTTTTCAATTCGTTTCGTAAATGCTTCGTACTTCGTTATGTATTCGTTTCGTTATTGTTTTGAGGTCGTTTTGTTATTATTTCCGCATGTCTGGGGCAAGTTTTATAGTTGTTTTTTGTTTAATTAGTGAAAAAAAATTATAATATCACACCAACAGTCAACAACAGAGGGAGAGGGAAGCTTCAGAAGTTCCCCCTGTCCCATTTGGAGGTTTTTTAGCGTATTGCGCGGTCACGTCTGCCATTAACGAATCGATTCGTTATTGTTTCGTTATTGGTTTGTTATTGTTTTGTAATTTTTTTTACCATTTACGAAATTTCGTAAATATCGAACTTTTTTTTAAAAAAAATCGGAATTCTTTTAAATATCGAAACGCAAAAAACCCCCAAAAACGAATCGATTTTAGAAACAAATTTTTCCGTTGTTACCCAGGCCTAGTTACTACCTCTGAGGATGCTTGCCATAGATGCAGGCGAAACGTCAGAAGAAAATATGCCTCTAGAACATGGCCATATAGCCCGGAAAAACCTACAACAACCCAGTGATTCCGGCCATGAAAGCCTTCGACGATACACTGGTTTACACATTTTCCCCCAAAACAATAATGTCCACTAGAGGGAGTGGGGCACATTTCCACCACATTTTGCACTAAGGTAGGTTTTTCTGAAACGAGAACTGAATGGGAAATGACTTCCACTTACTTCATCTTGCCATAAAAAAATAGACTGTTACTTGATTGAAAATGGTCTAGAAAAGCCTCCAAATGTGGCATTTAGGGACAAGACAATGCAATGCCTGTTCCCGGTCCTCTTGCACATTTCAAAGTGAGTGGGAAATACCCCTCTGCTGTGATCATTCCATCGTTTCAGGGACACAGGGTTGTCTGCCCTTGCCTTCACCTGATGTGGATTAAATGTGTTTGCTTTGTCTGTTACTGACTGTAAAAGCAGTCTGTATCTCCATGTCACACTGTGGGGGGTTCTGTGAATCCCAACATGACCCTTGGATGAATAATCCCTCTTCTCTGTGTTAAGGAGAGTTTTGATGTTGTGCTGTGACCCACGTTGTGTTGGAAGTGAATTATTTTATTTATCGTGTCAGGAGCAACCAGACAGTTGTATACATTTTTAACAAAACAAACAAACAGACAAAACACAAAGTTTGCAAGCTTAGTAGTTGATTAAATGTCCTTTAACCAGTAGCTGGCCACTTGGAGTGCCTCTGGTGTTGCTTCAAGGTCCTCCATTGTGCATGTGGCAGGACTCAGGTTGCATTGCAGCAGGTGGTCAGTGGTTTGCTCTTCTCC